ACAAACAGTCACCACTATGATAATACGAATGCTGATATTTTGGTGGAACTAGTGAAATTATTGAGGTGTAAGACTCAACCTAAGGAGATCCAGTTTTCTCTTGCTAATGCAGCTGAGTGGATGGCTTGTGACCAGTCACCTTCTCTTGGCACAATCTATCTCTCAGGGTTGTAGGGATAAAATCAAGGGAGACCTCATGCATATCAACTTAAGTTTTCAGAGAAAAAGTTTGATAAAAATAGAGTAATTATAATAAGCTATGTTACCACTGATATTTATTTGTTCACAATATAGAAACACTTTTTGAAGTTCTCTAGCTGACTGAAAACGACACACCCTTAAAATTGCAATGCAAAACCATTAGAAATTGTACTTAATAAAAATGCAAGTTATTGTTTAGGTAGCCACTTAGTTATTTAGCTAGCTAGATTTATTGCCTGTCTTTCTTCCAGGAGTTCAAGAGAGCATCCTCTTCCAATTTTTCCCAGAGAGGGAGGTGGGCTAAGAAATAGCAACTGGCCCCAAGTCATCCAGGGAAGGTCATCTTATATCTGGGTCTCCGTGGTTTTAGTCCAATATTCAACAGCTCACTGGCTGTCTGAAGAATCCTGAACATGTATGAAGGCTTGACAAAGAAAACAGAAAATATCACCTGCTGAACCTTTCTAAGGACATAGTGCCTTACATGGATTTCCTTCCCCTTTATTGATCATCCTTGCCTTTCATTGAAAATGAGTATTCAAAGCAGATCCTTAGGACAATCTCTATCTATTCTGGATGAACTGCAATTTCATAGGAGCCCCATATAAATGTCTTGCAATCATTGGAGTGAAGAGTTACAAGAGCAGGAGAAATGGTGGCCTAATTGCCCCCAGCAGAATAAGATCATGGCCACACCTAACAAATGCTCTTTAAACCTGTGGATCATGGCAGGAATCTTTAACAATCTATGTGCTGATGACACAGTGGGATAAATGAAAGCTGCCAGGAAGGCAGTTCATATGGAAAACATACTCCTGGCACAGAGGGAATTTCCACCAATATCCCTATCACCCAGATTTCCCGGAAGTCTCTTCCAGAGAGTTGAGGGATTTCCTAGATAACCTTTCACTCCCCTTTCAAGAATCCAAAGATACTTCTGTTATCTAAAGCAATTTATTGTGGAGATGAAGAATATGCAAGTATGTTTAATTTATCCATTTGAACATGGAATCAGTGCTGCCACAAAATTTAATAACACGAAATCATTTCTGAAAACGTTTGCCCTTAAATTAAATAAAGGTCACACTACTCAGGACCTCAAAAGTTCATGCTGAGACTCAATTATCCCCCAGGAAAGGGCCAGAATGCCATCTGTTCATTTTCAGTAAAGATCCTTGCCATGCTCTTCAGACAGCTTAGTTAAGGCAGCCTTATGCAGATGCTTGCTATGGCAAAAGACAATAAAATCCACAAAGTTATATGGAGTTGTGACAAGTGATGTGAAAACAAGGTGACGTCTGTTGAACCAGCTTTCTAGAATATTTTGGCCTAACAGTTGTGTTGCCTCCAGACAAGGAAGGGCTGATGGGAATTGTAATACAACACAGCTACAGAACACTGTGTTGGAAAATGCTAGCTTAACCATTAGTTAGAAAGTCCTGTGTTTACCCAATTTCCATAGAATCAAATCAACAGATTAGGATATCAAACTCATAGCTCCCCAGATTCTCCCTAGTACAGCTTCAAATACCCCTCACTACAGCATTGCTTACTAGGACTACTGGTATGGAAGACCACAGGAACTTCAATAGATCTAACTATCTCTCAAGGTCTTATTTGCCCAAGTGATCCAGAATAAATACTTAGCTAATTAAAAAAAAGTATGTAATGTCTTCAGGGAACCACAGTATTTTAAAAAGCAAATGCTGATAGAGATATATGTGGGGTACAGGTAAGAGACTAGGATTCACCATACTCAGCTGCAACATAAATTATATGACTAACTTAATAAAAACGTTGGTCTCCTGTTTCCATATACAAGACTCTTCAAGATCACTAGGTTTATGAACAATATGAAAAGCAAACAATAATTCAAAGCAGCTTCATAAAACTCCAAAGTTGGAGGATGGCCTTTGTTACACTATTACATTCTAAGGTAAAAAGAAATAATGCATTTGCAGTAAAGGAAGATACAGGTGTTTGTTATGTATAGTATAGGTTTTCATTCTAGGCTGAGACTGAGCATAGGAAATTTAAATTGGATTCTGCCTTTACAAAGCTGAGCACAAAAATGTTTTAGTTAGACTGTGTGTGTATGTGTGCACGCACGCGCGTGCACGCTGTTCTTTATTGTATCAGTGGATAATCTATATTCAGACATGGTACATGATTAAAACTTTTCCAGTGAATCATCCCTTAATATTATCTGCAGGTACAGATAATACAGCCACAAGAAGGACATGGAAAAGGACAGGGAGTTGTCAGCAGTTCCTCACATAATCCACCACTGGAAAAAAAAAATGTGGACTGAGGATTCTGTGGCCAAAAAATGATTGTTGGTTCTGAGATGGGAGGTTAGGAATGGAAAATTCATGGAAAACCAAAGTGGGAGTGGAAAGTGGACCTCCTGAAAGGAGGTCCAATTTTTCATCCCTGCTCTCAGATGGTTATATTTAGCTCACCAGGTATAATATTTGTTATCGTTCTTAAGCATATCTGTAAATCCTCCAATGGTGAAGAGATAGTTCTGTTGGAATTTTCTCTGTAGGAATTATTGACATGCTTCCAGAAAAAGTATTTATGGAGAAATGAGTCTTTTGACACAGGAACAAGACTACCTGAGATACCAGTGGCATATAGTTTTGCTCTCTGATGGTAAAAATTACCATCAGCAGCAACATTGTTATATGTGAAATGTGTTCACTTTGCTGTTGATGCTATGTGAAAAAAAAAAAAAAATCATCATCCTGGAATTCCAGCTATTCAGGAAACTGATGTTGAGGCTATTGAGTAATCTGTAAATCTCTCAATTGCTATCATACATCAATTACTACTGTTTCATCTTACAGAGAAGTTGCAGTTACAGTGCTTTCTACACTGTAATCTTAATCTGCTTAACTCCAGCACATAAAACTGACTGGACATGTTGCCACTTTAAGAAAACCCTTTCCAGATTTCAACCCCTTCCTCCACTTTGGCCATGTTCTATCAAGACCACATTCATCCCAGCCCTTATTTTCATTTCTTTTGCCTCTTTACCCTTCCCACCTGTCACAGAAAAGCAAGCTCGCGGGTGGATCTTTGGAGGCATATAGGGTCCATTGATAGACCTTTTGTATGACCCCCTGGCATCCACCAGTTTAAAAAGAAAAAGAACAGACCACAGTTCCAGTCGCTTCTGACGGAAGTGAAACTGACAGAACTCTGGTCAATTTCACCTTAACCATTAAAAAATGGGATAGGGCCACCAGTTCACTAAGCTGACACTGAACTTGTGTTTTAAAAAGCCCAGCCTTTCACTGTTCTTGGGGCGGGGGGGAATTGCTGTGGAGACACCAATAGGAAGAAGGAAGGGGATGTTATTTGTCTTCAAAGAAATGACGTGCAATGGGCAAACCTGACAGAAAACACCACTTTTGATGCAAAGCAGAAAAATGCAGGTGAAAGTTACCTTCTTGGTGGTGTAGGGTGGGTAGTAGAAGATGATGTGTATTCCTGCCCTCAAGAAATGTCCGGTGACCTGTACTTGCGATGGAGCAAGCTGGTTAAGCACATCATCTTAATTCCTGCTTTGCATCAAAAGTGCAAGGATCTTCTGTCTGATGCTATCCAGATTCTAAAACTTCCTCATGGAGATAGTCAAATATATTCGCTTCTAGTGATTTGGAAATGAGTTTAAGCAAGTGGCCTTTTGAACCAGACAAAGTTTGGTTTTTTGTATTTTGTACAAATGCTGGTTCTTCCTATTTTTTTTTATTATTATTATTTGAGATTTTTAATAGCATTCCTGCCTGTTAATGTTCTGCCCTGCTTGATACCACCTTTCATACTTTTCATCGAAAGGTAGAACAGGATCATCTACATCAGTATTTCTCAACCCTGGCAACTTTAAGG